TCAGATAATACTCCAGAATGTTATATTAAGTTAGCATACAAATGCATGGATGCTGATCCTGAAAAAAGACCAACAGCTGATGAAATTTTAAAAATTATTACTTTTTGGAATGATGCAATTAATATTGATGATGGTGAAGGTGAAGAAGAAGATGAAAGTGATGATGATAATGAGGATGAAGAAGATGACAAAGATGAAGGTGATAATGACGAGAATGAAGAACTGCTCAATGAATTAAAAGAAATAAGAAAAATATTTAAGGAAGCAGATCAAAAACCCTTTAACCCTTCAACAATTCCTGCAACTGTTCATCCAAATGCTATTTACACAAGTAGATTATTGAATTTTACAAATCTTCCTCAACCTGTAAACTCCAACAAAGTTACAATTATTAGTAATAACAATGGTAATTATCTAATTTATTGTTATATATTTAATCTTAATTATTTATTATTAATGATATTTTAAACCATAAACAATTATAGAATCTAAACAGATTGAATTAACTATGTCAGATTCTAAACAAATTGAATTAACTATACAAGATAATTTATGAATAAATTTATTTATCTGATTATTGAAATTTTTACATTAGTTTTTATTATTATCAAAAAAATTTTTTTAATGATTAAAGCTAACCATCCTTGTGATTTAACTTAATTGAAGTGACCTACCATCATGCCTCTTATAATCATTTAGTATTATTTATTTATTATTTTATTAGGATTTTTATATTCAACATTTATATATATACTGTTTTTAACATTTTTATCATCTATGAACACTACAAATAATAATAAAAATTGAGATAAAAATCTGTGTCTCACAGTAAATCTCAATATTTTGTTTATAATAATATACCAACAATGTTAATACTGTTGTATAATATGGGTGGTTCTGCCCTATAGAAAATTTGCATATGGAAATTCTGTATGAATTATAATTTTTATTGCTATGAAATGATTATTATAAAAGATATGGAATTATTCCAGAAAGATTTGTAAAATATTATGGTGTTACGAAAACATGTACAGTCAACCCTCCATAAGTGCACCCCCCTTGGGACCAGGCAAGACCGTGCACTTATGGAGAAGTGCACTTATAGAACAAAAGTATTTTATTGGTTGCACGTGACACTAATGAAAAATTAAAAAAATTTTTTATTTATAAAATTATTTATTGATTGATAAAATCATACATTGTAGTTTGTTTCATTCTATTTATTTTTTTTAGATTAATAAATTTATCAAGAGCATTAGCCATTTTTAATTGTTCACTAGAATTTTCTTCTTGTAGTAGAAATGCATAAACAGTTTTTAAACTTTTTGAAGCTTCGCTGGCACTTATTACCACTGGTTCAATACTATCATCTTTATCATCTTCGATATCCTCAATAGGCACTTCTAGCTGTTTTTTAAATATTTCTACAAGACCCTCAATAATTTTATCATCATTATCAGGAACCTCATAAACCATTCCTTCTTCTGGATTATTTAAAAATTCATCAATTTGCATAGCATTAGATAGGTTAAGTGCTCCAATTGAATCTGAAAGTTCTTCTAATGTAGGAATATTAGTTTCTCCAACATTGCTAGCAGTATCAATGGCAGCTGGGAGGATTTTGGTATGTTGCCAGCAGTTACGAATGGTTTCAGGTGTGATTTCTTCCCAACTTTTAATAATGTATTGTATTGCCTGCAATACATCCATTTTTAAATCTTTTATATCATTTCCATCTTCAACTTGATTTAGAATCCATTTAATATGTAAATGACGATAATGTTTTTTAAAAGACATAATAATTCCTGCATCCATTGGCTGAATTTTTGATGTGGTGTTTGGAGGAAGAAAATGAACATCAACATGAGAAAGAACCAAACCATCAATCTTATGGCTTGGACAATTATCAAGGAGCAATAATACCCGCTGATTATATTTTTGAGCAACCTCCCTGTTAAACTCTTGAAGCCAGTCTTGAAAAACAGTAGACAGCATCCATGCCTTAGTATTATAACGATATGTCATTGGTAAGTTGTTTATGTTAATATTTTTAAAACACCTTGGCTTTCCAAATTTTCCAATTATTAATGGATTCAACTTGTGTGATCCATCAGCATTTGTACACAAAGCAATTGAAAGTCTTTCTTTATTCTTTTTACGACCAGAAAGTCTATTTGTAGCTAATGTTCTATCTGGTTCTAATCTGTAAAGAATAAAAAATAAGATCAAATTCTATTCAATTTAAATACAGATAATCAAAGATTGGTATTAAAATATTAATTACCTATAGAAAAGACCTGTTTCGTCCATATTATATATTCTTTCAGCAGGATAATTTCCACATTTACCTCTCAATAATGGTAAAGCATCACTAATGGCAGCTAGATCAGCTGATGATGCCTCTCCATGAAGTTTTATTTGATGAATTCCATTACGATTTTTAAATTTTACAAGCCATCCAGTAGAAAATTTCAATGTCCCTTCAGGAATTCCTAACCCAGTTGCTATTTGCTTAGCCTTTTCAACTAAAATAGCATCACTCAAGATTGCTTTGTGTTGATAAACTAAGACAAATTCCTTAAGAGCCAATTCAAGTTCGGGGACAATCACAGATTTATGTCTTTTTGCTTCTGGATTGCTAATTTCAGTGCTAAGTATTTCTTTACTTTTTTGAATAATTCTGGTTATTGTTGATTCATGAACTGTAACTCCCCATTTTTGTTCAATCCATCCAACATATTCTTTTCTGGTCAATTTATTATTTGCAGCAAATAAGCAAAATTCATATTTTTGGGTATCAGATAAAGTTATTTTACTTGAAGACATTTTTTTATTTGGAAGTTATAAAAGAATACGAATGACTTAATGATATAAAACAATTACAGTAAACAAAGATTGATATATAATAACTGGATATTTTTCTTTTTTAAAGTAATAAGTGTAATTCAATTTAATTATTAAAATTCTTAATTTTATCTGTTATGACTTTTCTTTTACCTTTTTATATGTAATAATTCCAACTATATAAAACATAAGAGCTTTGTCACCTGGATTCTTATTCTCTTATTCTCTTATTCTCTTATTCTCTTATTCCGTTTGTTATTCTGTTATTCTAATAATTATTTACATCTATTAAAAAGAAAGAATTAATCATTTGTTATAATAAAGAAAGAAAGAATTCTTTATTTTCTTGTTACCTGAATTATTATTTTACAATGTTTTAAAACATCATTGTACATGGAATTACTAAATTAAAAATCAATGTTAAAATTTTAAAAAGGTCAATGGCTTACTTTCTCCACTTTAGGAATAAATTCATTAAAAAATGACACTAATGTTTTCCTCACTAATAAATAAATAATGATTTCATATTGCGGCGCAGTCACGTGAAAGTCACGGGAGTGCACTTAGAGAGGGTGGTTTTATATGAACGGGACCAGGAAAAGACTGTGCAGTGCAGAACATAGAGAGGGTGCATTTATCTCTAAGTCCCGAGCTTGGGACTGGGACATAGGGTGCACTTATGGAGAGGGTGCACTTATGGAGGGTGCACTTATGGAGAGTTGACTGTATTATTAAACTTATAATGAATTTTCTTTAGAAATCAAAAGGTTAAAAAAATGTTCTTTATATATATATATATATATATATTTATTTATTTTTATAAAAAAAATAAAAAAATTAGAATTATACATATTTGTTTTTTCCTGTATATTAAAAAAGGTGGTGGTGGTGATTATTGATATATTACTCGCTACTCTAGTTTCCTAAATAAGAAAGGTTGTGGTGTTACTCCAGGAAAATATTCTTAACAATTTACACAAAAACAGAAACGTTTACGTTTAACAAAAAGTCAAAAATTAAACCTTTGCTTTCTATAAAAGAAATAACCAAAACCGAGTTACAAAATCTCAGAGTCCAATATAGAGTTTCTATTCAAATAATGTTTATTTGAATTATTTATTTTATTCGTTATCAGTTATGAAAATTTATTCGAATAAGAATCTGTATTACGAATAGAAACTTTAATTTTATATTCTGATAACCAGATAAACAATAAAACCCCGCTGTTTTAATTTCCGACCACAAAATGGTTTTATTAAACAAAAGAATGGATTTGTTTATTATTTAATATGTTTGTTACAGAAATGAATTAATCAACAATTAACCTTTGGATGATACTTCATTAACACTCACTAGTTAACCAACGTTAGTCCTTAAAGCAAATTACGTTACTAATTGTTGTTAACACTCATCAGTTGACCAACGTTAGTCCTTACCTCGCTTGCTCACTAAAGCAAATAAACATGGTTTTTTGCGAAAGCTCCACAATTATTACCTTTTACTAAGGCACTGGGTACTACGCTTGTTGCTTTATCAAAGTACTTTGAACAAAGAAAATAAAGATGTTTTTATTTTTATTTTTCACAAAGTTTAAAAACAATTATGAATGATGAGAGGTTAATTAACTAATCAAGAATAAAAAATCTTGTTAGTAATTCATCTGCAGCTATTGGTTATTTTGCTACTTCTTTTTGCTCTTTTTTGATGGAGTTAATTAATGAAGTGTCAATAAAATTTTTTTCAAGGAGAATTCGAAAAGCTTCCAAATCTTCAAGTCTTTTTAAATAATTTTCTTGATCATTTGAATGGTTCGATTTTTCTTCTAAAGAATCCTCTTGTTCATTTGTGTCAGCTATCGTAATCGATATGTGATTATTATTCTTTTTGAGTTCATCTGTTTTCCTTTCGAGTTTATCTACGGTTTTCTCTTTGAGCCTTTTGGATATTCCGCATCCATTGTGCGCAAAACCCCATGGACTAATTGAACCAGCACCTAAGGATTTTTTGAAAATTATGATTTAACTCGAAAAAAAAAAAGAAAAAAAGGCCAAACTTACCAAACAAAAAGATATAAAAAGTGACAATAATACCATAGTAACCACCAATAGTTCCAAATATGGATATTATCTATTTATCCGAATGATTACTATATTAATATATATTACTATTCGTGTGATTTTTAGAAACAAATTCTTAAATGTTACTCACAGTATTAATCCTATTATTATTATTATTATTATTATTATTATTATTATTATTATTATTTGTAAAATTATGCATACAAATGTGTTAACAAGGACATAACAAAACATTAACAAAGTATATCCCTCGACATCATTTTTACCTTTGTTCATTTTCCTCATCTACAATGAAGTTATTTACATCAATTTCTAAATATGAATATGACTGGCTCACACCGACCACCATCTCTGTGGTTATTAGTTAGCATCACAAATAAAATCCGGGTTAAAAATACACATACGATAATAAAATATGCAATAAAGCTTTTAAAAATCAAATATTCTCACGCATTTGCGATTCAATATAGTTTTGTGGAATGTAATTTGGCCGGAAACCAATGTAACTTAAAGCTGTATCATCTATCCTTTTTCTGACTTTTCTAGAGTATTCAAGTATGTAATCCTATTAATTTTTAAATAATAACATGTTATATTTTAAATTTACAAGTTTATCTCCCCTTTTTTAAAATAATGATATCAAATACATACTGTTCCATTTGCTAAATAATATAAACTCCTATAAGTCAATGATGCGATGAATGGATCATCCCTCGAAAAATTAAAATCATCGCTCAATGGATCAAACTCTATTTATTTATTTGCATATTATTGTCAAAGCAGCAAAAAACAATTAATGCCTGCAATGAATTTTATGAAAAAACTTGCCTGAATCAAGTACAACCATCATCATGCTCTCATGAACGAAGCTGGAATTCGTGGTTATTTGAAGACTAAAAAAATTTATAACATCAGTGTCCAATAGTATCTTGCCTTCTGGTCTAAATGCCCAAATGAAAGGACGACGGGGGTCAAGATAGATATCTTCTAGTCGTGTAACATATTCATTGCAGCTTGCTTTTGAACATTTTGAGTTAGATAGATATTGTGAAATAGTAACGGTAATAATAAAACAATTGTCATGAAACTTTACTTACAGTTATCAGAGAGAAGACAATCCATGTCAAAATCATGGGGGGAGAACAAATAGATGGCTGCATTGATTGTGGTTTTGATATTAGAAAACAATATCATTTGATTTTGGTTATTTATTTTTTTAACTCAAAGTATTTTACCTGGTGCGGGTAGATTAGGAACTGGTTTAGATGTGGTAGTAATGCTAGGCTGTTCATCATTCAACTTCATCAACAACAACATAGCGAAAAGCAATAACGCTAGAATTGATGTAACAATGACAAAATATCGAAACCGTGTAATAATTTTTGGCTCAATTATCTGCGGTTTTTTGACCAAGTCGCCCAACATTTTCTTGTTCCTTGATTGATTTTAATTTTTAAAAAAAGAGAAAGAAGGGAAAACAGTGATATATTTATATTCAGTGTATAAAATTTAGGCGGAGCAAGTAGAATGCAACTTGTCCATCTCTAAAGTTTAAAAACCGAGATAATTTGTTACCGTCCACATGTAAATCTTGCCACATTAAGAAAGAAGCATACAGAAAAATTTATTTTCAATGATTAATACATCAGAAAACAATTACATATATTATATGCACAATTCCATATATTTCCATATTAAATTCTGTGTGCTTATTAACAATTATTAATAAAGGAATGAAAAAAATTCTAATTTTGCAATAATAATGAAGCATTCTTTGTTCAACATAAATATTTCGAAAATCTTGACAACTATTACTATATACACTACCCGGAAAAAAGTATTTGGACACCTATTTAGATTAATTACCCAAAAATATACATAATATTCACACATAAAATTTATATCATTTTATAGCTTAGGTTTTGAAAAATATTCATGTAAAATTTTATTTTTTCAGCTTATGTGATACTTTAATAAATAAAAAAAATACGAATTTCAACCAAAAAAATTTTTTTTTTGATCGTCAAAATTAAAATCGAAAAATTGAGGAACAAAAAAAAATTAATATTCAGTTGGCTATCCTTCATTAGAAATGCATGCTTCAATTCTTTTTGGCATGCTTTCAATGAATGTATGTAATTTTTCGTAAGTAATTTGCTGCCATTCTTCCTTCAGTGCAATTTCCAGTTCATTTGCATTTTTTGGGTGATTTTTTCGATTTTTTAATCTCCTTTCCGGCTCACTCCAGAGATGTTCAATCGGGTTAAGATCAGGTGATTGAGACGGCCATTCTCTTAATATTTTTATTATGTTTATTTGAATCCAAATTTGAACATTATTGGCTGTGAGAACTGGTGCATTATCATCTTGAAAAAATAACCTCTCCCATCAAAATCCCTCTCTATTAATGGTAACAAGTTCTTTTCTAAAATCTGAATATAATCGAAACGAACTATTAAACATAATAGAAAAGTGATGTTTTGCATGGATACTCTCTGAATTAAGGGTTTAATATAATATAAATTTTACGTATAATAATTATGTGGTTTTTGAGCACTTTGATAAACAATTTTTTGTTCAAAAAATTTTCAATTGAAGTTCGTGTTTTTTTATTTATTAAAGTTTCACATAAACTGAAAAAAATAAAATTTTACATGAATATTCTTCAAAACCTAAGCTACAAATGATATAAACTTTATGTATGTTTATTATGTACGTTTTTAGGCAATTAATGTAAATAGGTGTCCAAATGCTTTTTTCCGAGCAGTGTATTTATTGGTCTTGCATATTTTTTGAAATCTCATTTATTTTTGTCAAATGCACCAACCTACAGTTTTTCAAAAAAGTGAAAACTTCTGCAGTCCGTTTTATAGCAATGCGAACTTTTGCTTTTTGTGTTACAAATCACGCCACCATGCTACGCGAGAACAAAAATTCATTTATTTTTTAATTTGGGTTTGGGATTACATCTTCTTCGTCGCAAAGAGCAAAAAAAGACATCACTCGGGCCAAGACAGTAGTCTATTTTATTAAATCCAAAAACATATAAATAGGACAGCCGTTTTTTTGAAAAACTTGAATACTTTCATGAAACAAAACCGGATCTTAATCTTTATTATCACCCTCAAAAAATGATGATTCATTGTTGTTTGCTACTTGTTGCTATAGTAATAATAATAATGCTTTCTCAAATTAAAAGATTGTGTTTTCATATATTGTCTAAATCATTATTAATATAACAATAATGAGAAAAAAAATTGTTGAAGAGTTCTTTGCTTTTAATTTCTTCCTTCTCCAAGAAAACCATATAAACCATATATTTTCTGAAAGCTCTCGAGGTACTCTGTCTTATTATGCTAAAAGGATCTCAATAGAGCTGATTTCCGAAAAGAATTAAGCTTCCGAAGTCAAACCCATAGGTTTCTTTGAGAGGCTATTACTCCATAACTGGAAGAGCTAAAAACACATAAAGCTCGCGTTTTAAAGGTCAAAAGTAATTTATTGTTTTTACTTAGAGGCACGAAAATTGTTTAATAATGAGTTTATGTTCGGAGTTCCTACTCAAAAAGTTACAAAAGGAAAACATTTTAATATGTTGATTCATATTCTTAATAATTATTATAGATGATAATAATCTTTAAATTTAAAGCCTTTGTTTATTTATTTTTATTGTGAAGAATTTTTAAGATAGTATGAATTAAATGACAAAAATAAGAAAAACACAACAATCTCAAAAATGAATGGAGATAATAAAAGGAAAACTATTAACTATTAATACTAGGTATCAAAAATTATATTAAATAGATTTTTTTTTTTTGTCAATATTTAATTGATTATTTGTTTACATGCACACATACAAAATTTGGCATAGACTTAATTATATCCACAAATTAATTTATAATTATAATATATTTCATGATACTATTTATTTAATTTTATTAATTTAATAACAAGATTACTGATGAAGGAGTGACAGGTTGATAACTCAAACATTTCATCAGTATATTTAACCATTATGAAAAAAAGTTATTTTTATGGTAATTTTATGATTATAATTTGAAGATTATTTTTTGATAGACTCATAAAGCAGTTAAAAATAAACATAATACATAAATTTTGGAGGTTATATGACCATTTAATAAAGCCTTTGCCAAGTTTTCTTCATAAAAAAACATTATTTATTAATTTATTTTATTTATCATTTTTTTCAAATAAAAGATCTGCATACAATTAGCCAATCATTTTTGTTTTTTTTTTTTTTCTAGATTGTCTATCCTTAGGGCACTGACATATATTAGCTAATATTTTAGGGGGTGGGGGATAACAGAAAATCTTAGGTCACACATAATCTCAATTTGGGAATGATCTACGTGTAAACCAATTGTCATTTGCACAAAACATTGTGTTACACTTTTTGTCTACAGGATGATGTGGCAATTAATTATATACATAAATGCTATAATTAATCATTCTTTATCTGATATACATTTCCTTGAATATATTTTGTCAAAAGAGGCTACTTTTTTGTGATTGAGAAGAAAGAAATCATCAAGAATCCTTGAGTTTTGTTCTTTAGATTTTCCTTTAGCAGGATGCATTGTTTATAATTTTCAAATA